TACATCAAGTTGCACTCATGCGCGTCGGTGATGGGCATGAGTGTATACGCCGCCGATTTCACAAGATGCTATCATTGATGTCTGTCTATAGTCACTCTATAGGATTAGGCACCGTCAGCTAAACAACAAGAATTCGTTTGAAAGTGGACCAGACTGGTGTGTTTGAGTCATTTGGGATCCCTGCGACGGGTTGGGAACGGACATATTTGGGTCTGAGAAAAGGCACTTTCAGCAGTAAAAAAGGGCACTGCCGAAAATTAGGGGGAGGGGGGGGGGGCGAGGGGCATGCGTCGTCATGGAGTGCACATTCCAGTCGCCATTTTAATTCGTAGGCTATCGTGTGATTAGTATGAATTTAAGAAATGGAGTTTAACGTCCTACAGCTTGCTATGAGGGAAATTTTGCCCGGGCAGCGGCACTATGACCTACTCTTATATCGAATTCCAGCTGTCTAGTCGTTCGGATGGGACCAAAAACCGAGGTCCCGTGTACACATTGGCGTACACGTAAAAGATCCCTTGACAGTTGGAATTCGATATAAGAATTGTCAAGCTTCTTTCACGTGCACGTCAATGTGTACATGGAATCTCGTTTTTCCGTCCAACCCGAACGACTAGACAGCTGTCCTTGTCACGCCCCCCCCCCCCCCCACCGTACACTATTGACAAGGGGGAACCACACCGGAAAATCGCGGTGAACTTTCTCGGTCAACATCGGAAACGAATCCGCGACTTTAGCCGCCGTGGCTTCCTAAAGCCAGATCAAACATTTATATCGATTAAAATGCGAACATGAACAACTGCGTAGCCAATGTGTAAATATGTAGATATAAAATGTTGATAATTAAGTATTCATTTTATTGTTTTGTTGTTTACTCACTTATTTCTTTTACATATCCATATTAATTCTTGCATTTAGGAGAGAGGTGTGGTCATATAGGCTATGCCTGTTCCTCAATCCCTTTCAATTTCTGAATAAAATATTGTTTAAAAAAAAGAAAAAAGATGCTTTTCTTGGATAGATGCAGGGACAGCTGTCTAGTCGTTCGGATGGGACGACAACCGAGGTCCCGTGTACTCATTGACGTACACGTAAAAGATCCCTTGACAGTTGGAATTCGATATAAGAGTAGTCCGTAGTGCCGCTATCCGGGCAAAATTTCCCTCATAGCACACTGTATGGCGTATGCCCGTCTTCATTAGCCCAGTTCGGAGCAAAACAGTAGAACGTTAAACCCCGTTTCATTTCATTTCATTTTTTTGGATAGTGTGGATTTTCTATCGTTATCACAGTAAAGAAACTTTCAGATATCGTCTAGGCGATACGGTGCAACCAGTGTAAATAGTCTATTGTGTTAAAATGTATAAATTATTAAGTATATATTTGATGTGAGAGTTTATAAAATATTAGTACACGATCGGTAAACATATATACATCATATCAAACTTTATATACTGTACAAATACAGATAAGGTGACAGTTTCCACTCACATAAACCTTTTGTATAAACATTGACAGTCCAGGGGCATTGTTGTTACCCAACTGGAGAGAGAGAGAGAGAGAGAGAGAGAGAGAGAGAGGGGATTTAACGTCCACTCGATTCAAACTAGGTCATTTCGGGACTATAACACATGCGCGTAGGGGTCTTTAGCAGTGGCGAAAAAACGGAGGACCCGGAGAAAACCCACGAGGTTGGACAGGCAATCCTACTTCTTGTCACGTACAACCGGGCAATCGAAACCACGCCAGATGACTCAATGTCACACCTCATGATACAGCGCGCACGTGATAACCATTCGACCATTCAACCCCCCCCCCCCCCCCCCCGTGAGAAAATGGAATGAAATGAGGTTTAACGTCCTACTTTTCTGCACCGACTGGGCTAATGAAGTCAGGGGGGAATTCAGAAATTTATCTGTCAAGAGTTCTTGTACGCGCACGTCGATGTGTACAGGGGACCGACTAGACACTGTCCTTTTCAGGGCCCCGTCCTACACCACGAACACCCGAAAATCCCGAGGAACTTTCTCGACCAACACCGGGATCGAACCCGAGACCCCTTGGTTAATGCCCAAGCGTCTTACTCACTAAGCCACCGCGACAGCAGATCATGGAGACAAACGGGAGAATTTTATCAGCGTATACTTTTCATGTCGATTCATTAAATCTTATTTGGTAAACGGAAGTTACAAGCCTGGTTATAAGCATTGGATGCTGAAAAAAATCCACGGCGAAATATATCGGCATAAATTCTTTTCTAATACGAAATTTTATAAGAATTCTGTTGACGTGGATGAAACAAGTACGAGCGTATTATGCAACGGGAGCTGAGTGTGACGTCATCATAGCCATTTTGGAATTGTTACGTCATATATCAAAATCGTAGTTCGCCAATCGATGCGAAAGTGTCAAAGGAACAAGAATGAAGAGTTTCATGTCGATCGTAATTGTATTTGCAGAGCCTTATGCCTTTTTTTATATAAGCGCGTCTCCGCCAAGAACAACACGACGAGTAACTTTTGGAACTAATAAAAAAAGAAAAGCCATTTCCAAACCTAACTAACGTATGAAATCATGCACGTCTTTATAGTTTTGTTTATCTTCATTCAATTCGGACAATACATTGGAACCTGTGACAATCTCAAGAACCCTATACCAGGCGACACTCGAAATTTAAACACAATTTATTTTGTGCAGTTGATTCATAATTTTCACAAGATTATGAAATGGACTATAGTTTACAGGATGATGAAATAGACTATAGTTTCAATTGTATGCAAAATAAAGAAGAAACAGTAGAACGTCCAAATATTTTTCAAAAAAATACAAAAAAATACTGAAACGTGTTATGTAGGTTGTAATCGAAACGATTAAAACACGCACACACACACACACATAGTTTGTTAATCTCCTGACCTTGATGGTAGCATAAAAAAAATGAAATGGTGTTTGACGTATTACTTTTCTGTGCCAACCGGGATAATGAAGACGGGCAGTGTTCTATGAGGGATATTTTGCCCGGACAGCGGCCTACTCTTTTTTCGAATTCCAACTGCCAAAGAATCTTTTATGTCCACGTCATTTGAAGGAATCTGAAGCACTAGTTCATAGGGGTGCCTGGGGTGATAGGGTGGGGATGGTTCTCCCCCGGGCACAAAAAAATAATTTTTGCATTACGGATGTCTACCTATATTTGCTACTTTCTTTCTTACAGATAGTAATAAAAGCTCCTGATTTGCACGTGACAAAATCATCGATATTGCCCCAATGCTTTTATATTTTTAGGGGGGGGGGGGGGTGGGTGGAGGCTGAATCTATTTGTTAAGGCCAGCTCAATTTTGGTTTAAACAATATTTTATTTCTTAGTGAATCACAGATATATTTAACATACAATATATGGATACAATAACAAGCATTGCTGCTTATGTAAAATCGCTTCCATAAATAGTGATCATTCAGAAGTGGACGACTGGATGTATTTGATTAACATATTTTACAGAGTGCAGAAGGTGAAGGAAAAGAAGGTAAAGAAGGTAAAGATCCCTTAGAAAGGAAATAAACAGTACATATACAAGTAGATTATAACGATAGATATTCAATAAGACGATGACGATGCCGAGGCCCAAAATTAGTTCATCAAGTTTTATGAATTTTATGAGTTCATCTGCTAACTGGAGGGGGTGGGGAAATTCAGTAATGATCTAGGCAGTTTTAAAGCGTTTAGTTAGTTTGATAAAATTATGTACGATTTCAACGATTAAAGAATTTTCATCAAAAGAAATAGCGGTGTTTCCAAAAAGTATTGTTTGAATATTCCTATGATCAAAACCTAATTTATTTATTGTGATTTTTCGCTGAGAATTGTATAGTGGACAGTGTAAGAAATAATGTTCACAGTCTTCGACACCTTGACCACAAAAACACGAGGGATTTTCCGATATGTGCATCAAACACTTATGAAGGTTTAAGTCGCTCTTTGAGTTTCGTAGTTTACAATGTATTATCTGTAGATGTCTTTCGCCTATATAGTAGTGAGCATTTGTTTCGGTTAAGCGCATGCCTGATTTTAATTTAGTTTTGAATTCAGAAATAGTTTTGGAATTTTTTATTTGATGACTTAGATCATTCCACTGTTTAACAGAGGAAGGAAAAAAAGAATTCTGGTATAGTAATGTTCTACAGTTTATTTGCTTAATTTGGTTTGAGTTACGAAGACGGTAGGGTTGGTCGGCGGATACAAGAGGTGGGATTATATCGGTTAGATATTTAGGAACTAGTCCATTTAAAATTTTGTAGAAAAGCTCAATTTTCGTCAAGGTCGCTGAGAAGTAAATAAGGTTAGGGCACGTGACTGTTGGGAAGATTTGTAGGTTAGGGTTAGGGCGCTAGCCCTGTTTACATCTCGTGACCTTTGACCAAACTTGAAGTTGACCTTATCAATTAGATCTAATTGGTGGTTGGGTGGTCTATTGGTGGAACGCGTGCACGTGAAACCATAACGGTACATGTCTTTGAGTCACGTGGCGTGGTTTCGACTAGGAATAGGATCGCCTGTCCAACCTGCTAGGTTTTCTCCGGCTCCTCCGGTTTCCTACCACTGATATAGACCCCTACGCGCAAGTGAATTATTGAAATAAAATTACACTATATATGTTTGCCTCGAAATGACCTAGTTTGTTTCGAGTGGACGTTAACAGGCACCTGCACATTGTTTGCCCCCTAAAGCGACCTGACCTCCGCCACAGCCTTCCTCATATCGGTAGTGTTCTTGTTATCGAGAACCCAGCTTGGTATTTATCTCTGCGCGAGGCACGCTGTGAGGAGGATCAGAGGTCCCGTTATTAAAATCTCATTTTACTTATACAGAAGCGCGCGACACACATACAGTGAAGAAGACACTTTGAATAAAAAAAAGTGTCATATCATACTTTTATACGCAGGTTTATATTCAAACGCCAACAAGCTTTTGTTGTATTAAACGTTGACGAGCACTGTATTTGAGATAAAGTGTATTTTATTCTACACGCGGCTATAAGCACGGCACCCTTCATGGTGTTACAATAATGAGGGTATACCTAGCCATTCTTCTGCTTGGAATCCTCCAAGATTCGGAATGCCAAGGCTCCGAAGAAGATGCCAAGAAATGGTTAATGGAATATAACGTGGCATTTGGAGAAATGCTTAATGAACAGGTGAATGCTGATTGGACGTATAACACTGATATAACAGATAAAAATGAACAAAAACAGGTAAATTTATTTCATTTTCTGTAATATTACTATTATAGCACGACATCACAATTGGCCATGATTTTAAGTCCCCCAAAAGTTTTAAGACTAAAAGTGGCTTTAGGTAAGATTAGATAAAGAGCTGACAGTTCTCACTATGATAGTTAAAAATAGATAATCTAAAGGGAATTTGCTGAAAATTTCAGTCAAATTGATCCACTCTGAACCGAAAATTTAGCCATTGAAATTTCGGCCTAGCATCGATCATCATTACTAAAGTTGGTACGATAAAAAACATAGTCTCGATTATCCACTTCATGATTAAATCATGAAAGTTGAAAGTTGGAAATTTCAGTCAAATTACTTCACTATTACAAGCTATCGACGATACGATTATACTCTAGCCTCGATTGTCATTGCTACCGTTGTTATGATAATAAAGAAGCCTCGATTATCCATATTTACGTTAACCGTATAAACCGCAAAACGTATTTAAATCTACTTAATATCGTAGCCATTCGATACCATCGAGAGTTAATTATGGTCTTGGGGATGTTAATTAATGTCTAATAATTTAGATAACACCCCCCCCCCCCCCAAAAAAAAAAAAAACAAAAACAAAAACAACCTGCAATAGATAGATTCAGCTCTTGTATAATGTATGTTTAAATATGACCTATTCTTAGTCGTTGGCATCGCTAGATTGCGATATTTACTGGATTAGAATCCGGTCTGCTGCTTCTGATTAAATCAATAACTGGATAATCGAGACTATGTTTTTTATCGTACCGACTTTAGTAATGATGATCGAGGCTAGGCCCAAAATCAATCGCTAAATACTCGATTCAGGGTGGATCCATTTGACTGAAATTTTCAGTAAATTCCCTTTTCATTATCTAGTTTTTAACTATTATAGTGAGAACTACCAGCTCTTAATCAAGTCTCCCATCATTCATCTTTAAATAGTTTTGTTGTTTACCTTCCTAGTCATTTTACACTACCCATTTCTTTTGTTTGTTCTTTTTGGCGGTTGGGGGAAAAATAATGTTTTGTAAACATTGCACATCAAACAATCTACACCTACATACAGTATATAAACTTACGCTGTCTTTCAACAATTATCTCGGCTTAAATATTTTTAGAATTTTGAGCAGTAGATCTTCTGCTTTCATTTAATAAAATTGAAAAGGTTTAATAAGGTTTTTTTGTGTATAAAAGATGTGAACCGGAGAAGGGTCGCATTACAAAACACAATACGAATTGAGATCTATTTCTGAAGTAGATACTTCTCTGTGTGCTGAAGTGAAGACTGGACTCCTGCATTTCCGCAGGATCGTTTACGCACAGGCCAACATGTAAACAAACAGTGAGCCCATTGCTCCCACCATCCGTACCATAAGGCACATTTTGCCCGGACAGCGGCGGTTCCGCATACTCTATGTTGAATTCAAACTACCATGAGATGGTTTACATGCAAGCCAACATGTAGCCATATCCGTATACTATGGGGGATATTTTGTGCGGCATTTTATACTAGTAAATGAAGGGGAATTCAACGCCCTATTGTCTGCACCAATTGCTGTTGTTTTTTTTTTTTGGGGGGGGGGGTTGTAAACAATATTTTATTTCAAATGAATGAAAACGGACCAGGGAACAGGTGTAGACTTTATCACCCCTCTCCTCATACAAGGAATATAAAATGAAATGAAATGAAATGGCGTTTAACGTCCTCCTGTTCTGCTCCGACTGGGCATACGCCATACAGTGTGATATGAGGGAAACTGCTCGGGCAGCGGTGCTATGGCCTACTCTTATAGCGATGAACTTTCTCGGCCAATGCAGGGATCGAACACGCGACCTCTAGAGTAGCGAGCCAGCGTCTTACTCACTTAGCCACCGAGGTTCCCAAGGAATATATAAAAAAATATTATAAACAGATCTGCTAGGTACATATTATAAAATAATGGTGAAAATCATATAAATTAAATAATTTATATACACACTATTTATAACAAATGAAAAAAAAAAACAGAAGTGCTATTTTAATATTTTATAAAATTGTTCAGAAAATCAAATCAAATATTGAAACGTCTGATGAAGGTTTGGGTGTGGCGGAAATAAGGCCATCTGAATGAACCAGCTTTATAAGGGTTTTGTTTACCTCAAAGAAGCTTATCTTTCGCTATCTGTTGGTTTAATGGTTGAGACATTAAGTAATAATATTGATAGGCCTACTACACGGGGACGTTTCGCAATTAAGCTCGAGACCATTAAACAACTTAAAATTCATCACTTGAGTCCAATATTTCATCTAGTATAAATAATGTAAGATTGGCAAGTTGCCTGTACATTATGTAAAATAATTGTACGCCAACATCAAAGGATGACGTCACATTTGTTTTTTAAATGTTTGTAGTTTTGACAAGATGTGTGCATGGATTGTTTATTATCGCAGAAACGTCACTTGACAATCAAGAATAGGCCTCGATTCTCCAGTTTTAAATAAAATTATTAAAGATTTGATAATAGGCTTGACATGTGAATATACATGTTTCGCTAAAGGGGGTGGGGGTGCATGGCCGAATGGTTAGCGTGCGTGGTGTGTCATAAGGTTTGTCATTGGGTCACCTGGCGTGGTTTCGATTCCCCTGTTGTACATGACAAGGAGTAGGGTGGCCTGTCCAACCTCTTGGGTTTTCTCCGGGTCCTCCGGTTTCCTTCCACTGCTAGATCCCTACGCGCAAGCGAATTATTAAAATAAAATTGAACCATATTTTAGTCCCGAAATGATGAAGTTTGTGTCAAGTGGACGTTAACCTCTCTCTCTCTCTCTCTCTCTCTCTCTCTCTCTCTCTCTTTGTCGTCGCCATAGTGATCCACATTATTATTATCGTCATCATGAAAATGGTACGGGGTTTAACATCCTACTTTGGTGGTTGATTATGAAATGAAATGAAATGGGGTTTAACGTCCTACTGTTTTGCTCCGAACTGGGCTAATGAAGACGGGCATACGCCATACAGTGTGCTACGGCCTACTCTTATATCGAATTCCAACTGTCAAGGGATCTTTAACGTGCACGCCAATGTGTACACGGGACCTCGGTTTTTCGTCCCATCCGAACGACTAGACAGCTGTCCTTGTCAGCCCCTCCGTCCTGCATCACTGACAAGAGAGAACAACGCCGGAAAATCTGGATGAACTTTCTCGGCCAATGCAGGGATCGAACACCAGACCTCCAGGCTAGCGAGCCAGCGCCTTACCCACTTAGCCACCGTGATCCCCCGGTTGATTATGAAAGAATTTACGTACACGTCATCGCGTACATGTGACCTCGGTTTTCGGCTAATAAAGACAAACATATGAATGCGATCACTAACATTTTGCTCGGACGGACACGCTACAGTCAACTTATGATTTTCGATTACCACATTGGCTTACATCATCATCCTGGCTAACGAAGATGTTCTGGGCAATATACTAAAACAGAGAGAGAGAGAGAGAGAGAGGGGGGGAGAGAGAGAGGGCAGCATACTAAAACTAGATGAGTTAAAACTAACGGGTTTTCAATAATTTTACCACTTATATGCGATCCATCTGCACTAAATATGAAAATGATATTAACCCACTTGATAAGAAAATAATTATGTTACTAAGAAACGATTGCTCAACATGAGAAAAATAAATTATTTTGTTTATAGAGATGATTTTTATCAACCCATGGGGCGTCCTATATAACGGAAATCAATAATATGGTCGTTATGAAAGAACATTTTGTTGGGGGTATTTTTAGAAGGTCGTTTCAGTGTTGTTTGTGTTATTTGAGTTATTTTTACTTACGACGTTCGTAAACAAGTTTAAAATGATATTTAATTTATGAGAAAACCTACGATCTATACTCCTTGTCACGTATTAGCGGAGAACAGAAACAACGCCACTGAATGGCAGTTCCTATGATCCAACGCGTACGCCGTGTTAACCATTCGGCACCATTCGGCCCCCATTATGGAAGATTTAGATAAAGAGCTGGCCGTTCTTGCTATAATAGTTCAAAATGAAAATATTGAAAATTTCATTCCAATTACTTTATTGTAAGCCAAGTTATCATATCACTGTTTATAGTTTTGACAAGATGTATATTGCTTGATTATGGTCGTAACCACGGTACTGGTATATTCGAGTCTTAGCCTCGTTTCTCCAATTGCGTCCTATATTACGGAAATCAATAATATTATGGTCGTTATGAAAGATCTTTTTTTTTATTTCTAGAAGGTCGTTTCAGTGTTGTTATTGTTGTTTGGGTTATTTTTAGTAACGACGTTCGTAAACAAATCTAAAATGATATTTAATTTATGTCTTTAAATTTTTCAAATCCAGGGGCGGATCCAGGAATTTTTGCAGGAGGTGGGTTTGCCAGGTTCATGAGACAATGTATCCCCCCACCCCTCCCGCATGGTCTCTATCGCCATTTTGGCGTATAAACATACACATTGAGCTTTTTAAACAGAGAAATTCAACACCTCGTTTGACGTCAATTTTTATTATGAATTAATACAATGACATTGTGATTCAATTTGATGGATGCAAAGCATTAATTGTGATATTACATAATGTCTATATCATTATCTCGTGCTTTGAGTGCCCATCCCGTCCCACATCTGACGATAAAGGATAAAGCACACGGCCGAGAAACTTTTCTCATAAAAAGTGTGGATTTACAAAAAAATTTATGTAGCTGAGCGGGGGGGGGGGGGGTCGACCCCACCCTCCTCTGGATCCACCCCTGAGAGCCGCCGTGGTCCAGTGAGCCAGACACTTCCTCGTTAACTTGGGGATTCCGGATTCTCTCCCGGTGTTGACCGCGAACGCTACTCGACTCGATGTTTTCGACGTGGTTGCACCTTATCTATCGTGCGGACGGCGGGCATGACAAGGAACAGTGTCTAGGGGTTCGGATGGGACGAAAAGCCGAGGTCCAGTGTAAACATTGCCTGATGCTTGCCTGGTGTAATTCGAAATAACGACGCTGCCTGGGACAAATGTCCATTATGGCACGCTGCATGTACGCCAAGTTTCGTTATCTCTGAGGGAGCAGCAACTTAGAACGTTAAAGGCTCAATACCACTCTTGTTGTAACTGAATAATATAGGATGTAATGGATAATTTACACAACAGGTAGGACACATAAACATCTAATACTTAGAATAAGGCTATTATTTATTTTCTGGAGCTGTCAAGTCAGCAAGAGTGTTATTGTCCCTTTAAACCCCATTTCATTTCTATTTCCAATATGTTGATCAGTGTCATTATTAGAGCTCCCAGGGCCCAACAAGAAAACGCGTCTAGTTGTTCCGAAGATCCGGAAACCGGACGTGTGTTTAGCTGGAAATCGAAAAAAAAGTAAGCAGTAATTGTCTAGAGGTCCGTCTACAACACGTTGCATTTAAGATGAGCACACTTTAAAATTACTCTTATAAAGTTCGTAAACTATTTGAACTAATATTTTTAAGCGCATGTTCTACTTAAAACATTTCCTGTCTAATGTATCAGGAAAGATGACCTGCACGACCCAAACCCAAAATACACAATGACAGCAAATTCTAGTGTTTACAGAGACCACAATGACTGAAGACATAGGCGTACGGGCTGGATGTCTGTTGGGGGCGGGTGGCAGGACTCGAAATGCCCGAAAAAATTCGGGTTAGTTCCCCCCCCCCCCACCAAAAAAAAGAAAGAAAATTGGGAAAATTTGATTTGACGACCGCAAGCGCGTTTTCCTGCTATTCTAGCCCGTGAATACAGCAACGTCCAACGTCCAAGTGGTATAATAACCCTAATTTAGGTGACTGACTAGAATTCCAACCAACCAATCAATCGTTTACAGTTCACGGTAACGGGACCGTGGGGAGAAAATTTTTAAGATTTAACTGCCACAAACGTGTTTACCTGCTATTCCAGCCCTTGAATACAGCAACTTCAATGTGGTCCGGGGAGTTGGATGGCTAAATGGTTAGCGTGCGCGCGCTGTATCATAAAGTCTGTCATTGAGTCGACTGGCGTGGTTTCAAATCCCCGGTTGTACGTGACAAGGAGTAGGGTCGCCTGTTCAACCTCGTGGGTTTTCTCCGGGTCCTCCGGTTTCCCCCCACTGCTAAAGACCCCTACGCGCAAGCGAATTATTGAAATAAAAATTAAACCATATGTTAGTCCCGAAATGACCTAGTTTGTCTCGAGTGGACGTTAAACCCCGTTTCTCTCTCTCTCTCTCTCTCTCTTTCTCTCAATGTGGTCCAATATAACCTACCTGAGGTGGCTGACCTGAATCCCAAACAAACAACCAATCGTGGCGGGGTATGGGGGCCTCGCCTCCTGGAGAACATTTTGAAAATGTAACCGCCGCAAATGCGTTTTCCTTCTATGCTATCCCGTGAGTTAAGCAACTCCAAAGCTGTCCAATGGTTTTGTAACCGAAATCCCACTCAATGCCGACCTGAATTCCAACCATCCAATCAGACCGTTACAGCTGCATTCACAAACAATAATCGATGCCTGAAAATGTCGCACAAAGTAGAGAGACTACAGACAAAATTCAGTGCAAATTCGAGGTATTCAATTAAAAGAAAAGTAAAATTGGTGTTTTATTAGATTTGGGGCACTTTATTTTGCTAACTACATGAATTTTTTTTTTCACTTGACTGTCTGTCCGAAGAGTCAGATGCCCCGCCCCCCGTGGCCAGTACGCCTACGAATGAAGATATTTGGTGTATAATTACCAATCAAATACAAACTGTCACGAAAACAAACAAGAATAAGTATTTGCAAACACATTTATGAATTATATCGGTTAAGGTTTTCGTGTGTATTTTCAATTGTTAAAAACTTTATTTGAGGAAGAGAGAGAGAAATGGGGTTTAACGTCCACTCGACACAAACTAGCATATGGTTTAATTTTTATTTCAATAATTCGTTGCGCGTAGGGGTCTTTAGCAGTGGGAGGAAACCGGAGGACCCGGAGAAAACCCACGAGGTTGGACAGGCGACCCTACTCCTTGTCACGTACAACCGGGGATTCGAAACTACGCCAGTTGACTCAATGACAGGCTTTATGATACAGCACGCACGTGCTAACCATTCGGCCATCCAACCCCCCTTATTTGAGGAAGAAACAGACGGTTACACCACTTTCTAGGCAAAATTATGCATTTTAACATTCCAAAATAACCGTATTGTATTAGTTAAAAGTTAAACGCTATTCATTTCCCTTATGATATTATCCCAGTCTATTTGGATAACCTCGAAGCTTACATACGTGAAATGAAATTCAATGGGGCTTAACGCCCTATTATGTTGCACTGACAGGGATAATGAAGACATGCAATCGCTATGCAGTGTGCTATGAATGAAATTTTGCCCAGACAACAGTGATACGATAGGGGTTCTTTTACGCGCATGCCATGTGTACACAGGACCTCAGTTGTTCGTCCCATCCGAAAGACTATACGTTCGTTGTCCCTTGCCCCCCCCCCACTCCTCGTCCTGCACTGCACCACCGATAGGGGAAACCCCACTGGAAAATCCCTATAGACTTCTCGGCCAACACCTGGATCAAACATTGGACCTCCAGGTTAGCCAAGGCGGACGTTAAACCCTATTTCATTTCATGTCATTTCAACTACAGTATAAAGAATAAATTCAAATAACTCGGAATTTGCCGGAATTTACCGAGAAATGCCGATAGTAATGCTCTGTCTATATTGTATTTATACCTAGGTTGCAGCAACTGTTAAATTATCAGAATTCAACAAGGAAGCTGCTAACAATGCATCCACGTTTGATTGGAAGAATTTTAACGATGCCGATATTAAACGCCAGATGAAGAAGGTTTCAGATATTGGTCCAGATGCTCTGAAAGATGCTAAAAAGGTTCAACAGGTAGGTCCTCTGAGGGTGTTGGGATGGCCTGGTCGTCAAGCGTCAAGCTCTGGCTGGCCCGTCACCTCGGGCTTGCGTTTCCGGTTTCGAACCCTGGCGCAAGCGTATGTGGCGTTTCTCGAACTCGTGGTTTACTCCGGGTACTCTGATTTCCATCCATAGGAAAGAAGCCTGCGCATGCGTTAAAGATACTAAAATATTGATCAATAAAAACGTGTCTGCGAAAACACCTTCGGTGGAAGCGGGCGTTAATCCTACGAACAACAACAGGTGCTCATATCATTTCACTATTACATGGATAACATGATTACCATGGTGACCGAATCCTTCACACTGATCAGCAGTGAATTTTCGCTAGGCCGCTACAATCACTGATAAGGATGACATCGATGCGACAAATTAAATTCTAAAACATTTTTTTTTATGTATTAGAAAAATAAATAAATGCGTTTAAATTATTTTGTAGGTAAAAAATATTTCCTATTTAGTGCAAATGGGTTTTAAAATGAGTAAAAGTCTCCATTCTGCCCGAACTAGAACGTCTTATGTAAACAATGCACGCGCCATTGAGCCATTGATTGGCGCCGCGTGATTAGCCGTCACGTGTTAAAGGTAGTCATCTTTTACAGAGATATTAGAAGACTTTCGTAATCCTCTGTAAAACAGATTTCGAATCGTTGTCTCTGATTTATACCTGTACACTTAGGCTTACATTGTCTAATTACAAATTTGAAGAGCAACAAAAAGTGTCTGAGATAACATCTTCCGTGGAAGCGGCCATGAATAACATTGGTGACCAATTACCCAATCCCCGCCTCTGATTTATACTTGTACACGTAGGACATGAATAACATGATTATCACATGGTGACCAATTACCCAATCCCTGTCTCTGATTTATACTTGTATATTTAGGTTTTATATTGAATAATTTGAAGGACAACATGGGATATTTTAAATCCATCTGAAGTCACGTGGTTCAATGGTTCAATCATTTGTGTGTGTGTGTGGGGGTGGGGGGGTGGGTGGGGGGGGGGGTGTCTTGTGGTTTAACGCGAGCTTGTGAAATCATAAGATCTGTCATTGAGTCAACCGGCGTCGATTCGATTACCCGCTTGTAGCCTACCTGACAAGGAGTAAGGTCACCTATCCAACCTGGATCCTCCGGTTTCAGGGGCGTGGTGACCCATGATTTTGCACGAGGAACAAGATCCCGTCCGGGCCTCCAAAATACAATATTTATATGTATGTGCGTAAGGGGGGGAGAGGAGGGGCCCTTCCAGTGCCACCGGGTAATATTGGCCTGTGTGGAACATGCTAGAGTCGATTTGTAGCATATCTGACCCACAGTATATGTTTGACACTGGTTGAGCATTATGAATATGTTGAAAACTACATTGATACCGCATGATATTTTGCCATTTGCGATGGGGTGTAAAAACTCAAGAGGGCGCAAAAGCTCTAAACCATGACGCAAAGCTCGTCATTGTGTCCCTCTCACTTAACCCCTGTCCGGTTTCCGACCACTGCTTTATTATGAAATAAAAAAATTGAACTATACCTCTCTCTCTCTCTCTCTCTCTTCAAAGAACCACCTGTTTACATATCATGTAATTGTAGTTAAACGAGGCTATATCCGGTATGACGTCAATATACAGCAAGGCCACCATTAACCTCAACAATGAAACACTACAGCTTGATCCAGGTAATGATCTCTTTACATTACAACAGGGGGGTGGGGTGGGGCTGGGTAGCTCTGGTTTCTGTGGTGACGTACACATCAATAATAAAACACTACAGCTTGATCCAGGTAACAAACTCTTTACATTATAAAGGGGGGGGGGAGGGGCTGAGTAGCTCTGCGGCACGAAATTTTAACTGAGATAAAATCTAAATTTTAGTAATTTGATTGGATAATATTAGATTGATTTTAGTGCTTAGCCAATCAAAATTGAAGTATCTACTAAAATTTGGATTTCTGTTTAGTTAAGTTTTCGAAAAACAGGTCCCTGGTTTCTGCGGTGAAGAATCTATGACTTGAAACTAGCATGATTCAAACTTCCCGTCGGATTTAGACTATAATTTTTAGTGAAAGCAAAGACGAATTTTAATTATTTTGAAAACCATATAATATGTCAAATAATTTGTTACCAATTTTTGTTTACTATTTGCACGCTTTATGAGGTTTATATGTATTAATATCATTGTTATACTGCCCAAAACCGATCTTTGACGACAAACTGATTCAAGGAATCGATTTTAAACGTTATCTTTCAGATTGGGTGCAAATATACAGATTATATTTTTGTGGGTAAAATTCTATGAAAAGTAGGCAAAATACCACTCACTGCCTGGGCAAAATGTCGCTCATACCACACTCTACGGTGTATGTCCGTCTTCATTTGTCCGATTACTGCCGCAAAAAAAGGATGTTAAACCCCATTTTATTTCATTTCATGAGCGGGACAAAGTTTTCCAAGCTATATTTAAGTTTAGATATTACTGATATTTATTAATACTACAGGTATAAGTGAACTTCTGGCATCTTCCCGGAACTATGAACTACTACAAGAAGCCTGGAAACTATGGCGTGATGCATCTGGTGCGAAGATGAAGACCATGTATCAGACGATGGTAGAACTCAGCAACGAAGGATCCAAAGAAAACGGTACATGTATAGTCAACTCTTTCTTTATTATTAACACCTTCTATTCTGCGCAGCTGGCGTGGTTTCGAATCTCCGGTTGTACGTGGCAAGGAGTAGGGTCCCCTGTCCAACCTCGTGGGTTTTATCCGGGTGATCTGGTTTCCTCCCACTGCTAAAGATCCAGTCGCACAAGCGAATTATTGAAATAAAAAAAATTAAAAACCATGTGTTAGTCCCGAAATGACATAGTTTGTGTCGAGTGGACGTTACCTCTCTCTCTCTCTCTCTCTCTCTCTCTCTCTCTCTCTCTATCTCTTCTGCGCCCAGGGAATCATCTACTTAGAGAAAAGATCTCTGCCTTCAATGGCGGCCATATTAAACAACTTACCATTACTGTAGTAATGTGTCATGCGGTTCTAATCCATTTACATCGTTCATACACACAAAGACTAAACAAACGTTTCTCAGTTTCAATATTCTCCAAATATACCAGTCTGTTATCAGCGTAAGTTTCGTCCGAACGTCGTCCTCGCGCGGAATTGACAGAAATATAAAACCGGAATAGTAATTCGCGACGTACAACCAGGATTTGTGACGCATAACTAAAGTTTGTGCTGCCCAGGACCTTTGAGAACGATTAATTACCAATTCTAATATTTTTGCAGGTTACCCAGATACAGGTGCCTTTTGGAGAACACCTTACGAAGATGCGGATTTTCAGGACAGCGTAGAAGAACTTCTGGTACAACTGAAGCCGATGTATATGGAGCTCCATACATATATTCGTAAAAAGTTACGTGATTTATATGGGGCGGATAAATTCCCAGCATCCGGTCATATTCCTGCACATATTCTAGGTATTATGTAAAACTGTCTAACATCTATCAACCAATCTGATTGAAACACAGATCCTATTTCGTTTCATTTTTTTATAGTTCAAAATTTCATTTTACTTGTCTTTACTACACTAGGATCTGGAAGAGTTGTTATATTTGACGTGTTCTGGATGATGTGAGGGATTAGCCAATGAAATGGTCTGTTACAGTGAACCTTTGGCTGATTAGTTGTTCAAATATCTGACGTCATAGGGTCAAAAGCCGCTCGAATGACCCCTCACCTGTCAGATCTTTATGTAGTGTATATAAAAAAAACGGAACGAAATATAGATCAGGAGGCCCTGGCATATCGACCCCAGTGTTGGCCGAGAAGATTCCCTTTAATTCTCTAGCTTGGATTCCCTTTGACACCAATTCATTCCAGGTCATTCGGCACTTGCGGCCTTTTTTTCAGTAAAGCGGTGGTTTCTGAGTACGGAATATTTTTTATTTGGCACATATTAAATTTCTTGTGACGGTCAGGTATAATATACAGCAGTTTATCCTTAACATATATAATTTTTTTTAACATACAATATAAAGCCATAAAGAATAGGATACAAAAACAAGCCAAGTAGACTTATATTAATTTGCTTCCTTCTGGTTTGGGTGTATAATATATGTACAACTTCAAATAATATATGATACAGACAAAAACTAATTATATTATTTTAGTTGTGGTACAAATAAGTAGATAAGGAATTTTGAATAATATAAAAAAAAAGACAAATAAATAAAAGTCGGTATTAATGAATTTTGAATAAAATAAATAAAAATAAAATAAATAAAAATAAAATAAATAAATAAATAAACAAATAAACAAATAAATAAACAAATAAATAAATAAATAAATAAATAAATAAAAGTCGTGTACGGTATTAATGTACTTATCTTTACCTGATAATAAATAAATACATACCATGTTTTATTAAACATACATTATGCAAGAGCTAAATCTGCCATTTGCACGTCTTTCTTTAGGCCTGAAATGTTATCTAAATTATTAATTAGACATTAATTACCTTATCCAGACCATAATCAACTCTCGATAGCATCGCTAGACTGCAATATTTTCTGGATTAGAATCATATCTTCTGCTTAATGCTCATTGATAATTAAATCAAAAACTGGATAATCGAGACTATATATTTTATCGTCAGACGTTAGTAATGATGATCGAGACTAGACCCAAAATTCAATCGCTAAAATCTCAGTTCAGAGAGGATCAATTTGACATAAATTTCCAGCAAATCCCCTAATCTCCCATAATGTATCTTTAAGGAAAGTATAATACTTACAATTGCACGAGTTACATGTATATATAATTTGTACTTTAAGGTAACATGTGGGCCCAGCAATGGAATAATATATACGATATAGTCATACCATATAAAAATAAACCCAGTGTTGACGTCACACCGGAACTCATAAAACAGGTAAGAAAATCATAATATGTATTATTATTATTATGACACATTTCTATAGCCAACAGCTACCACATAATAAATGACCTCATAAATGGGGTTTAACGTCCACACGACACAAACTAGTTCATTTCGGGACTAACATATGGTTCAATTTTATTTTATTAATTTGCTGCGCGTAGGGGTCTTTATATAGCAGTGGGAGGAAACCGGAGGACCCGGAGAAAACCCACAAGGTTGCAAAAGATAATGACAATATTGCTATTTACATACTAAAAAGTGATAACAAAGAATATAGTTGATACAATATATAAATAAAAGTTGTGATTTAAGTAAAATTACATGTAATTAGAAATTAAAATAGCTCTGGATAATTGATATAAAATCATCACTGGGTAAACAAGTCTTTAGTTTAATTGTAAAAGTAGCAATAGCAGTGACATTACAAAGGGAGGTAACTATAAAAATAAAGTGACGGAGCAAGACAAACTTTTTGCCCCCCCCCACCACCACACCTGTATAAGACTACGCCAATATAGGTGTTCTAACTTAACCCCTGCACGATGTACCGTCCACATACCCTCTCTTTGGGCTTGAAAACTAACCACTGTACACATGCACATATTGGCGTGCACGTAAAAGAACCCTTGGCAGTTGGAATTCGATATAAGAGTAGGCAGTAGCCCCGCTGTTGAGGCAAAATTTCCCTCATAGCACACTGTATGGCGTATGCCCGTCTTCATTAGCCCATTCGGAGCAGAATAGTGGGACGTTTAATTCCATTTCATTTCATTTCATTTTATGTAATTCCATTTGTTCAGTCGGTTTAGAATAGTAGGACGTTAAATCTTATTTCATTTTATGTAATTTTATTTCCTTCATTTATTTTAGAATTACACGGTCGAAAGAATGTTTAAAACTTCAGAAAGTTTCTTCACCTCCATTAAACTAGAAGAAATGGTGCCCTCGTTTTGGACGGATTCGTTATTTACTCGCCCTGCAGATAAACAAGTCGTCTGTCACGCTTCAGCCTGGGATTTCTACAACGCTCAAAATTTCAGGTTAGAAATAAACAATACGGAAGTTCCGAAATGACATAGAGTGGACGTTTAACTCCATTTCCCTCACTTTCCCGCGCTGGTATTGTAGCAAAGAATGTAAAAGTCATATTTGTGCGTTTAAAATTAGGAGTCCCGGTGGCAAATTGACCTGACCTGAAGGTGCCGTGTCCAGAAGTGTCATGTACACATAAAATAAAAGAACCCTACTGATGACCTTGGATGACAAGTCCTGTATACATGTGATGTAAATTATGTGTAGTTTAATGGTCAAGTGCGAGACATTAAGTAATATTGATATTGTACGAGAGCGATATCACGAGTGCTATATCTATATATTACGCAATGTCTTGCACGAGACCATTAAAGGGTTAATACCGATAATTGTTTGGAGAATAAAACTGTTTAATTTTGTTTTAAAATCCCTTAAAATCCTCTACCTAAGGGCCGAGCAACTAACTCAATATTTGTGATAAGTTTTCAAATAACTGAAACCCGTCAGTCTCCATCTGGAAATGGAGAGTGGTGTCCCAAGCTGTATTATGCAGTGTCTAGATAAAACCAGACATTTTTTGTATAAAAATAATGTGTAGGTGAAATTTACCTTTCATTATCAAGTACAGCATTTGGGTCATTCACTGTATAGACCTCTCAATGAACGGGAATCGATTATCAGGTCACCCAACGAAAAAATTGACCCGAAATCTTAAAAGGGTTACGTGTCCGGATAAGCAGTTTTGACGGTCACGTCCAAACGACTCAATATTTTGAGCTGAAATTTTGAGATACGGTCAATACACCATTCCTCTATATTTTGCCCGTATCATTATTTGAACTAATGGTACGCCAACATCAAATGATGACGTCACATCTGTATTTTAAATCTACTGATGACAACTTTCAGAATAAAGATGTGTACTAAAATCAACATGGAGGACCTGATAACAATACACCATGAAATGGGACATGTGGAATATTTTCAACTTTATAAAGATCAACCGGAAGTTTACAGAGATGGCGCTAATCCAGGTACGAGGGGTTTAGTTGAAGGCTAATATCGTTTTAAATATAATACAAGCGAACTATGACATATAAAATAAGTCCGCCAAGCATCGGAGTAGATAAGTGAAGTGAGTCTAGTCCCTCGAAAGGGTTTAAAATCCATGTCCCGTGTTTAAGTTGTTATTGCTTGTCAAATATCCTTAGATAGCCGGAATAAGATGGAAATTCACTCTCCGTGACCTAATTTCACCCGTATTTATGCTAAACGCCGAACTAGGAAACACTTGCTACATACAAGTGAGAAGAGAGACATTTCCTCTGGATTTTATATCCAAAGGGATAATTCAGAGCGATGATTTCCTTGTCAGTGGTGCATGACGAAGGGCCTGACAACGAAAAGCGTCATTTGGATGAGATATATAAAAAAACAGGCCCCATGGAGCACGTTAAAGATCTCTTATCAGTTGGAAGTCGAAATAATGCAGTCACCTTGTTGGTACAGAAAAGTAAAACGTTTAAACTCACCTGATTAGATTATTTGCTTTAACAATCTGATTAAAATACAGATCGATATTCCGTTTCGTTTTTTTTATACTTTCGATGATCTACACTTCATGAATATCTGACGGGTTGTAGCGATAGGTCGCGTCAGAGGCCATGCGAGCTCCTTTTGACCCTATGACGTCAGACATTTGATTAACCAATCAGCATTGATGTTACTAGTGGATTACCCACAGTTCCGTGCAAAACACGCCTAAAGCTCGCCGTAACAGACCGTTTCATTGGCTAATAGCTCACATCATTCAGAACACGTCAATGATAGCAACTCTTCCAGATCCTAGTGTAGTAAAGACAAGTAAAACGAAATTTTAAACTATAAAAACGAAACGAAATAGGATCTGTGTTTTAATCAGATCGTTGCTTTAATTAACCATATTTTAATGTAAACAAGATTATATAAAAGCTGTTTTTGTTTTGTACCAGGTTTCCATGAAGCCATAGGTGATACCATTGCTCTATCTGTGGCCACACCAAAACATCTTAGAGAGATAGGTCTACTGGCACCAGGAGCCGATGATTCTGGTAATATTCTACTTTCGTTTTATTACTTTAATGGCAGGTGATTAACAAGAAAGGCTTCTGTTCTATTTGCATCAGACACGCTGTTACTTAGATTCGATGTCAAAATGGGAGGTCACGGTGGCTAAGTGGATAAGACGCTGGCTCGCTAGCCTGGAGGTCGGGTGTTCGATCCCTACATTGGCCGAGAAAGTTCCTGCGTGGCCCCCCCTTGTCAGTGACGCAGGACGGAGGGCCTGACAAGAACAGTTGTCGTTCGGATGGGACGAAAAACCGAATTCGAAATAAGAGTAGGCCGTAGTGCCGCTGTCCGGGCAAAATTTCCCTCATAGCACACTGTATGTGGTATGCCCGTCTTCATTAGCCAAGTTGGGAGCCGAACAGTAGGACGTTAAACCCCATTTCATTTCATTTCGATGTCTTAAAGGTCGATTGCCCCAAACTTTACCACATATTTAAATGTTCATAATCACCCAGTGGCAGCAGGCGGTTACTTCATTATGTAATAAAATCCATCCCCTTTCCAGAAGCTGAAATTAATTTTCTGATGAGTATGGCTTTGGAGAAGATAGCTTTCTTGCCATTTGGATATTTAATCGACCAATGGCGATGGAGTGTTTTTAGTGGAGAAACTCAACCAGACCAATACAACCAACACTGGTGGGATTTAAGGTAAATACATTTGATAAACATGAATCCTAAACTGGAAGTAGTTTTTGAAAAAGGGGGCCACGTTGGCTAAGTGAGTAAGACGCTGGCTCGCTAGCCTGGAGGTCGCGGTTTCGATCCCAGTGTTGACCGAGAAAGTTCATTGGGATTTTCCGGCGTGGTTTCCCCGTGTAAGTGATGCAGGCCGGAGGGCCGGACAAGGAAAGCTGTCTAGTCGTTCGGATGGGACGAAAATCCGAAGCTCCGTGTACACATTGGCGTGCAGGCTAAAGATACCTTTGCAGTTGGAATTTGATATAAGAGTAGGCTGCTATCCGGACAAAATTTCTCTCATACCACCTTGTATAGCGTGTGCCCGTCTTCCTTAGCCCAGTTCGGAGCAGAACAGTAGGACGTTAAACCCCATTTTATTTCATTTCACACATGACTCCTTAACTGGAAGTCCTTGTCAAATACGAAATCAGACGCCTTCCACTCTTCATTTGGACAGTGGGAAGCAACTGGTATACCTGGAAATACCACTAGGTTAGACAGTATACGCCTCGTTACGTACCAAACCGGGATCGAATCCAAGGCCTGCATACATGTAGATATCAGGTCATTTGATCTACAGCCCGCTCAGTGTAGGACTGCTTGATTCGGCCATGTTAGATTGTGCTTTATTTATTTACTACTACAACTGTTTTCATATTTGGGGCGGGGGAAGGGGGGTGTCCGAATGGTTAGCGCGTTTGCGCTTTATCATAAGGTCTGTCAGCTGGCGTGGTTGCGATTTCCCGGTTTTCTCCGGGTCCTCCGGTTTCCTCCCACTGCTAAAGACCCCAACAAATGACTTATTTTGCGTCGAGTGGACGTTAAACCCCATTACTCTCTCTGTCTCTCTGATATTGGGAATTCAGCAACCGAAGATATTAGATGACAGCCAGTCTCGGGGTAATGGACATACACCAGACAACCATAATAGTTATAAAATTATTATTATTGTTTGTAATTTATTCACAGATGTAAATATCAAGGAATTTCGTCACCAGTAAAACGAACCAAAGACGATTTTGATCCTGGTGCCAAATTTCATATTCCATCAAATGTTCCTTACATCAGGTATATTATTCTGATCGTCTTAAACAGTTTGGTTCCAATCTGATTCAAATACAGGGCCCTTATTCACGAAAACTTAAACTAAGTTACAGCCGAAATTTTAAGAAATACTGCAACTTCATTGGATATATGCAAATTGATTTTACTGGTCAGCCTATCGGATTGCAGTATTTCTTAAAATTTCGATTGTATCTTAGTTTAAGTTTTCGTGAATAAGGGCCCAGATCTATACTTCGTTTCGTTTTTTTTTACACTTTCGATGGCCGCTACTACATGAGGATCTGACCGGTTGTAGTGGTGGGTCGCGTCACAGGCCATACGAGCGCCTTTTGAGCCTATTACGTCAGACATATGATTGACCAATCAGCGTTGATGTTTCTAGTGGGTTACCCACAGTTCCTTGTACCTCACGCCAAAAACACGCCGAAACAGACCGTTTCATTGGCTAATCCCTCACATCATCGAGAATGCAGGTTATCAAACATCTCTTCCAGATCCTAGTGTAGTAAATACAAGTTAAACGAAATTTTGGACTATAAAAACGAAACGAAATAGGATCTGTGATTTAATCAGATTGAGTTTTTGTTGTATCCATAAACATATGAGGATGTATTTTATATCATTAGTAGAGATATAATAATTTTAATTAAAACAATTGATTTTTTTTTTAAAAGAGAGAGAGAGAGAGAGAGAGAGAGAGAGAGAGAGAGAGAGAGGGGGGGGGGGTAACGTTCACTCGACACCCATTATGTCATTTTTAATGTTATTTCAATAATTCGCTTGCGCGTAGGGATCTTTAGGAGTTGCAGGAAACCGGAGGACCCGGAGGATACCCACGAGGTTGGACAGGCGACCCTACTCCTTGCACGCGTTAAACCACTAGACCCCCGAACCCCCTTTAAAAAGGAAAATAACACCTTAGGCAGCTACGATGGATTTTGATAAAATAGCTGACACTTCATTCAATTAGTATATTCGACGTAATTTAATCAGGTGTAAGACGTAGTGAAGAGGCTTTGCGAAGAAATCGATGAATTTGATGATAGTTCAGCATATATGAATGAAGTTGATTACTTTCAAACGAAATCATGATTACTCATACTAGTATTTATTTAATTGTGTTACATTATTTGTTTTTCGGTTATTTCAGATATTTTGTAAGTTTTGTGATACAGTTCCAGTTCCATCAAGCTCTATGTAAAGCTGCTGGTCATACTGGTCCGTTACACAGGTGTGATATATACAGATCAGAGGCAGCTGGTCAGGCACTCAGGTGAGAAATAAAATAAAATGAGGTTAACGTTCTCAATTTCTGCCACAACTTGGATAAAGAGGACACTTTTTCCCGGACTTTTCATCGTAGTCGAACTACTATGGGTTCTTTTTGATTTTAGTTCAGGACTAAAACTGCACGAGAGGACCTCGGATTTTAATAAAAACGACAAGACGTTGTATGTGATGTACTACTGACAAGGGGAGACGCATTCAGCACAAAGAGAACCAACTTCGAGAATAGATTTCTGAATGGCCGCCATATCTAAAAATTAGTACACTATTTTGTAATGCGGTTCTATGCCGTTTCACATCAACCATACTCACACAGACTAAAAAGTTCCCTTTCTATAGAGGCGAGATAAATGCTTCTCACAATTCGCGAAGTATACTTAGAGCTTTCGACTAAAATATCGTCGATTTAGGAATTAAAATGTCGGTCAACTAGCTTAGTGTCCGTTTTTAAACGGAGCTAGCTGTAGACAGACCGCGTAAGTTTAATATGGGGGGGGGGGGGACTATGAACAAGAGATCTCCTGCTTTGTGAGCCAACGCGATACTTACTGAGTCGCCGAGACCACCACTGAACGTAAACCTATTATAATACAAAGGAACAGCAAAAATTGGAATTCAGTGTGTTCAAGTAACCCAAAGCATTGTCCATTCCCACTAGAAATGAAATGAAATGGGGGTTTAACGTCCTACTGTTCTGCTCCGAACTGGGCTAATGAAGACGGGCATACATCATACAGTGTGCTATGAGTGAAATTTTGCTCGGACAGTGGCACTACGGCCTACTCAAGGGATTTTTACGTGCACGGTTTTTCATCCCATCCAAACGACTACACAGCTGTCCTTGTCAGGCATTCCCACTAGAAGCGATGTGCTATAATATTCTTGTTTTCTCCATTCAGAACGGCATTAAGCCTAGGATCATCTAAACCATGGCCGGAAGTGATGACCATCTTGACTGGTCAAGCTAAAATGGACACTGGACCTCTTCAGGAGTATTTTACACCACTGACCGAATGGTTAAAGTTGCAGAACAAGGATGAGAAGAAGGGATGGGATGAAAGTTGTCCTGAAACTGATGAAGCAGCTGAAGAGTTTCTCAGAGACTACAACACCAAAGTCCAAGATGTGAATTATCGTACAAGTGTTATCAGCTGGAAATATTCTACTAATGTCACTGATACAAACGAAGCAAACAGGGTAATGTTAGATATTGTATAGGGGCATTTTGTGTGATACTATAATTCAGATGACCAGTTCAAGGTGGGAGCTAGGGTGACTCAGTGTCTAAGGCGCTGTTTACCAACTGTTGGCCGAGTAAGCTCGGATTTCCCTTGTGAGATGGGGTGGGGTGGGGTGGGGCATCTCCAATAGAAGGCCTGATCTCGTTTCAAACATCTTATCAAGGCCTTCACGTAATACCCTGCATATTGCGGCACTAATTCCGATTGGGTACAAGCCCAACTTGTGAGCCTATCTGATTCCTCGTTTCTCGCGATTACCAAGTCTCGCGCTTTCAAGCTAAAATGTCTACCTGTGATAATCGAGTTGCTAAGTTCAAGGTTCATTTAATGTCAAGGTTTCCGTGGAGGTCGCGATGTCACAACCTCTGATTGGACACTACTGCTCACGTGTCTGTAGATAACATAGCTATAAGTTCGAGAATTGTGAAGTAAACAAGCAACGGGCAGATGTTGTGAAACTAGCAGTCGTTGCTTCAGGAACATGGGGTGGGGGTGGCGTTACATCATAAGGTCTGTCATTGAGTCAAGTGGCGTGGTTTCGATCCCCCGTTTGCTCGTGTCAAGGAGTAGGATCGACTGTCTAACCCCATGGGTTTTATCCGGTTCCTTCGGTTTCCTCACACTTTCAAAAGATCCCTACACGGAAGCGATTGATTGAAATAAAATTGTACCATATGTTAGTCCCGAAATGACCTAGTTTTTGTCGAGTGGATGTTAAACCCCATTTCTCTCTTCCCCCACCCAATCACCCCCTTTGTGACGGAGGACCCAGCAAGGAACAGTGCTCGGTCCCGAGTACCCTTGACAGTTGGAAAAATTTCCCCAATTGCATATTTCCGCAATTGCATATTTGTCTGATGCTGACACATAGAGCTTTAAACCCCTTTCCATTTAATTTCCATTTCAATTTGGTTGGCACGTCAACGATTTCACAAGTGTCTACTCATTTTGTGAAATTAGTAATGGACCAGTCCCACCCCTTGGTCACACTTTTTTAGAATAGGTCAGCTTATTCACCGATAGTAACCTACTAATATATTTGTGTTGAAACATAGGACCAGTAAATAAGTTTATACTTGAAATTTCGAGGTTCCACAAAAATCGGATATACCGGTGATTGGTATAAACCATTTCAAATCAAAATAAACCTGAAGTATAAATATGTAATGATATTGTTTACCCGAGACTTAGCTTCGATCAACCAGTACGGTGGTTGAAATTATTGCACACGTCTGTCAAACCTTCAAAGGCTAATATCTTCCCTTGCAATAGAGTAATTTGAATGAAATTTTCAAATTATTCATTTTACATCATTTACTGTCGAACTATTATAACAAGAATGCCTAGTTCTTTATCTAAATCTTACATAATGTATCTTTAAGTCTGCGAATACTTTCTCAATTCGGGACCAGGAGGAAAAGGATTCGAATGATGTATCTATTTTTCTTAACAGATACAAGCTGAATTGAAAGCTGCTGAGTTTACAAAAGAGGCGGCTAAAAATGCTTCTAACTTCGACTGGAAACAGCTTGATAACTGGTCATCTCGTCGCAAGTTTAAATTCATCACTAACATTGGAACAGATGCAATGACAAATAAAACAAAAATAGAAAGGGTAAGTCTTGAATTCTGTTCAGTATTGAAGGAGCTGGTAGAATTTGCTGTCTCCCATAGCATTAATTTGAAATGATACGGTTCGTCTTCCGTTTTAGTGAAATATTGCGTAGTGTTGTAATTTTTTACAGTCTGATTAAAACACAGATCCTATTTCGTTTCGTTTTTATAGTTCAAAATTTCGTTTTACTTGTCTATACTTGTCTAGGATCTGACTGAGTTGTTATCATTGACATTTTATGGATGAAGTGAGGGATTAGCCAAGATCTTACAAGTTATAGTGGGAGTTCACGTCAGGGGTCAAACCAACGGCCCTTGACCCTATGACGGCAGGCATTGATTAATCAACCAGTCGTTTACCCACAGTTCCGTGCATAAAAAGGCCAAGGACTCGCCGTAACAGGCCGTTTCATTGGCTAATCCCTCTCATCCAGAACACGCCAATGATAACAACTCTTCTAGATCTTAGTGTAGTAAAGACAAGTAATACGAAATTTTGAACTATAAAAACGAAACGAAATAGGATCCGTGTTTTAATCAGATTGACTTCTCTTTGAATTCTATTATAAAATACATTCTTGCCTTCTTACACAGGCATTCTGTTTATAATTCAAAATAAGGCTTTCATATTGTTTTTATTTAGTTGAGTACAGTAGTATCCAAGATGGAGGAAATTTTTAGTAAATAAGGCTTTCATTTTGTTTATTTTTAGTTGAGTACAGTAGTAGGCCTATCCAAGATAGAGGAATTTTTTTAGTAAATAAGGCTTTCATATTGTTGTTATTTAATTGAATTAAAATATAATAAAACCAAGTACGAACAATCCAAACCATTAGAAAAAATTCGAAGTCCTAAAAAAAGCGGTATAGGCAAAATAGTGTAATCAGGCAAAATAGTGTAATAAGCATATGGACTGTTAACCGTGTACAAAATACACGACAAACAGTGGTAACAGGTGTCCGGAAGAGTACGCTTACCCTGCCTGGTATCCAAGATGGGGGGATGTTTAGTAAATAAGGCTTTCCTATTGTTTATTTTTAGTTGAGTACAGTAGTATCCAAGTTGGAGGGGATGTTTAGTAAATAAGGCTTTCGTATTGTTTATTTTTAGTTGAATACAGTAGTATCCAAGATGGAGGGGATGTTTAGTAAATAAGGCTTTCATATTGTTTATTTTTAGTTGAGTACAGTAGTATCCAAGATGGAGGGGATGTTTAGTAAAGGCAAAGTTTGTCTTGATAATAAAAGTAAAACGCCATGTTTAAAACTAGAACCAGGTATATCTCGTGTGTTCGCGGAGTCGCGAGATTATGACGAACTTAAAGCTGTATGGAAAGAATGGCGAGACTCCACAGGGAAACTGATGAAACCATACTATCAGGAAATGGTGGAATTAAGTAATGAAGGGGTTAGAGAACTAGGTAAATGTCATTTAACCTTCCTTTTCTTTTACAGACAATATTGTTTACTCTTAAAGGTGTAGTTCAATTTTATTTCAATAATTCGATTGCGCGTAGGGGTCTTTAGCAGTGGGAGGAAACTGGAGGACCCGGAGAAAACCCACGAGGTTGGACAGGCGACCCTACCCCTTGTCACGTACAACCGGGGAATCGAAACCACGCCACTTGACTCAATGACAGACTTTATGATACAACGCGTTAACTATCCCCCCACCCCCCACAAAAGAAGACTCCAGGTTGCTCACAGTAGCTGTATTCCATAGAATTTTGTGTATTTCTAGGACCAGTGCTAACCTCTAAGATCACATAACCTCCAAAACTCTTTCAAAAATCTGAACCCATTTTATCCAAAATAGTCGTGTGGAGACAAGTTTCAAACGGGGTGCTGAACTGGACAGATTGCGTCAGGGGGTCGTAAAAGCCACATTCTATATAGAATATAACAATTTAATTCTACATGACTGGCTAATCTTAGTCTCGGTCACCCAGAACCTCATAGTCTTCAACGTACGGAGGTAGAATATTTTTTTACGCCCACATTTTCATGTGGACGTATATTGTCGTCGCCCCTGTCCGTCCGGACGTCCGTCCGTTCACAATTGTTTGTGAACAGTCTACAGGTTACAATTTTTATCCGATTTCAATGAAACTTGAAATATAGGTTTATCACCCTAAGATCTCGGTTCATTTCGATATTGGCATCTATCGGACCGTAACTTCATGGATTATGGCCCCTGATTGTACGAAAAATCACGTTTTTGGCTTGTGAACACTGTAGAGGTCACAATTTTTATCCGATTTTGTTGAAACTTGAAATGCATGTTTATAAACCAAAGATCTTGGTTCCTTTCGATATTCGCGCATATCGGACCGTAACTTCATGAATTATGTCCCCTGATTGTAGGCAAAAACGCGTTTTTTCGCTTGTGGACCCTATAGAGGTCATAATTTTTATCCGATTTAAAAAACCCTGTTAATATATCACCGTTACACCCTAAGGACGGCTGAGTTCGAATTTCGTGAAAATCGGCCCAAAACTGGCAGACAAAATGGCCGCCCTTCGTTCTCAAATAGCGTAAAATATGGTATATCAAGGTTGTGGACCCTATAGAGGTCACAATTTTATCCGATTTTGTTGAAACTTGAAAGGTAAGTTTATAACACAAAGATCTCGGTTCCTTTCGATATTCGCGCATATCGGACCGTAACTTCATGAATTATGGCCCCTTATTGTATGACAAATCGCGTTTTTAGCTTGTGGACCCTATAGAGGTCATAATTTTTATCCGATTTAAAAAAACGTTTTATTATATCACCGTTAAACCCTAAGGACGGTTGAGTTCGAATTTCGTGAAAATCGGCCAAAACTGACAGACAAAATGGCCACCGTTCGTTCTCAAATAGCGTAAAAAATATGGTATATCAAGATGGTGGACCCTATAGAGGTCACAATTTTTATCCGATTTTGTTAAAACTTGAAATGTAAGTTTATAACTCAAAGATCCTGGTTCCTTTCGAATATTTGCGCATATCAAATGGCCCCTTATTGTATGACAAATCGCGTTTTTAGCTTGTGGACCCTATAGAGGTCATAATTTTTATCCGATTTAAAAAAAACGTTTTATTATATCACCGTTAAACCCTAAGGACGGTTGAGTTCGAATTTCGTGAAAATCGGCCAAAACTGACAGACAAAATGGCCACCGTTCGTTCTCAAATAGCGTAAAAATATGGTATATCAAGATGGTGGACCCTATAGAGGTCACAATTTTTATCCGATTTTGTTAAAACTTGAAATGTAAGTTTATAACTCAAAGATCTTGGTTCCTTTCGAATATTTGCGCATATCAAATTGTAATTTCCTGAATTATGGCCCTTGATTGTAGGAAAAATCACTTTCGTTTTAGCTTGTTTTCTATCCATCTCTCGAAAATGTGGGCGTATCCTGCCTGGCAGCCGCTGGTTCTGGATGATAGAGACTAGCTAATCTAAGCAAGTATCATCAATTTATTGTTTGTAAAATACAGGTTACAAGGATACAGCTGAATATTGGAAAGATGTTTATGATACACCCACATTTGAAGAGGATCTGGAGAAATTATTGGTTCAACTTCAACCATTGTATCGTCAACTACATACTTACGTCAGGAAGGAACTGAAGAAAGTATATGGTCCTGATAAATTCCCTAAAACAGGACATATACCTGCTCATTTATTAGGTAAGAACTATTCCAGTATACATAATATACCAGTTCATGTATTCGGTTAGCACTATATCAATAAGAACGAGAAAGAGTTGAATGTGTGACTCTTATAAAATTCCTTAAAACCGGGCATATACCGGCTCATCCATAATGTAAATACTACATCAGTACGAACGAGGATATGAACAAAATCTGTGTTCCTCATAAAATCCCTTAAAACGTACTATATACTGTCTCATTTATTAAGTCAACGCTGCATGGGAAAGAACAAAGTCTAATAAAATCCATTAAAACCGGACTGATCGGTATATAGGAAAGAACTAAACAAGACTATGATACAAGATGAAATATGCTAGCTCATCATACGTAAAAATAAAACACATACAAAATATGATCTCTGACTGTTATAAAAATAAGAATCTTAACGGGCCAGCATATTTTTCTTGATAAATCTATTTCGAAAATAATTAAATCCACGGTTCCTAAGGGGGATTGGATGGCCGAATGGTTAGCAATCTGATTAGAATATAGATCTATATTTCTATTCTTTGAATGGCATTTAGTAATTGGAACATAATCAAAAACACACTTTTATGGATAACAATTACTATATTCATATCTTTCTCATTTTTTATCTATTTGTATATATGCTTGATAACGACTTGTGAAACCTTGTTGAAACGTCGCAGTGAAATAAACCATAGTAATTGTTATCCATAAAAGTGTGTTTTTGATTAGATCTATATTTCGTTTCGTTTTTTATACTTTCGATAGCCTACACTACATGAAGATCTGACAAGTTATAGCGATAGGTCACGTCAGGGTCAAAAGACCGACTTATGACCTATGACGTCAGACATTTGATTAACCAATCAGCATTGATGTTACTTACCCACAGTTCCGTGCAAAACACGCCCAAACCCACCGTAACAGACCGTTTCATTGACTTATCCCTGACACCATTCAGAACACGAGTTAAATAACAACTCTTCCAGATCCAAGTGTAGTAAAGACAAGTAAAACAAAATTTTGAACTATAAAAACGAAACGAAATAGGATCTGTGTTTTAACCAGATTGAATGGCTAGCACGTGCGCTCTGTATCATAAGGCCTGTCATTGAGGCAACTGGCGTGGTTTCGAATCCCCGGTTTTACGTGACAAGGATTAGGGTCGCCTGTCCAACCTCATAGGTTTTCTCCGGGTCATCCGGTTTCCTCCCACTGCTAAAGACCCCTGCGCGCAATCGAAATGACCTAGTTACTGTCGAGTAGACGTTAAAGCCTCTCTCTCTCTCTCTCTCTCCCTCTCTCTCTCTCTCGTAGAACCATATGTTAGTCCCGAAATGACCTAGTTTGTGTCGAGTGGACGTTAAACCCATCTCTCTCTCTCTCTCTCTCCCCCCCCCCCCCACGGTTCCGATTGAGATAAAAGGAAGACTATTATTTTTGGGGACCTGGATAATCTGTGAAATGTTAAAATACGTTTTAAAATTCATGTTATATAAGAGAAAAATAATCGATCTTTCAGGTAATATCTGGTCCCAGGAATGGGAGGAAATTTTACCACTGTTACAACCCTTCAAACATAAAGTCAGTGTTGATGTTACTCCAACTTTAAAAGCAAAGGTATTGTTTTCTGAATGTCACCTTTCACCATTGTCCTCTATGGTGTAATCAAAATGAAAATTACAATTTTTGAAATTTATTTTATTGATTTGCGGACTCTAAATAGTAAGTTGTCATCTAAAATGTTGATTTTATCATTCAAATATTCTAAATCATTATTCGATTACTATTCGAATACTCCATTCAATTGAAATGCTCAATTTTGAGATTGTTTTTTGTCGGGCTTTTAAATTGTAACTGCAAATCTGTCAAATCAATGTATATGGTTTTGTCTTGTTTGCATATTTTTGATTATTAGTAGATGTCATTGAATGGATATTATTCAGTATTTCACGGCAAACAAAATCAGACGACTACAATACTTTTAATTGACAATGAATGCTAAAAATTCAGTTCGAT